TTCCCCGCTTCATTTCTTTTTGACTCATCCAGGCAGCCTACCAGTTCCATTCATTGCCAGGTTCTAAAAGTCAATATATATGTTCCTCCAACTACCAGTCAGTAAATTAAAAGAAAAGATGTCACTGTCATCCTGGAGGACTTTTATCTCTGTGAATCACACCAAAGTTAAAAACCACAAATACTAAGGCAGATAAATTGAGAGTCATCCTGATTCTTCATTCTCACCTCATATCCAAACTATATGAAACCCTAATTTTATCTTACATAGAGCAAAAAATCCATTTGTCATGTTCTCTATCATTCTCCCAGTCCCTAGCACAGAGCTTGGAATAAAACATGTGCTTAATAGAGTATGAAGAAATAAATCAGATCTGGAAGATACAAAGATCAAGTCACTTTGTATTAAAAATTCAATTTTCAAAATCTAAAAGTATCATCAACAAAAAAGTTTGAAAACTAACTTGCTATTTATAACAATGGTAGTGAAGTTTCAGGAAAAAAACAACTTCTCTTTCGCACTAAGAGGCTGCTGAATGAAAAGCAATGACATGACAAAATTAGAGATGCAATCAGGAAAGAGAAACCACACAATAATCTGAATCTGCAAAGTTTAATATAAAGAAAATAACTATTAAAGAGGATCAAAGTAATGAGGGATTGGCTAATAAAAAATAACTCTACAGAATATGGGACTGACAAATGTAAGGAGAATCCACTACAATTAGGGTCTGAGCTAGAGCTTCTTCCCACCTCCCAGGACTGAGATGTGGACCTTGTTGGGGCCTGGTTGTGGCTCATTGAATGGCGCAAGAAGTAGCTGTGGGGACTTGGCCAGTGGATCTTGCTGCAAATTCTCCCTCTAGGGTACTGGGGAAAACGTCATTGAGAGGTATTTTGCCGGAGGGCCTCCAAGCTGAAATCAACTGAAGTGGGTGCTAGAAATTGCAGGCAGCTGCTAACCACTATGCAGTACAGGAGCCAGCCACTAGAGAAGGTGTTCACACTCCTAAAGCAGGGCAGAACCTGCTGAAAGCACACTGTACCCAGGAAGAGAAACTTTCCTCCTGCAATGTCCCTCCAATGCTGTCTACTGATAAAGCTGAATATTGTGCCAGCTGGCAACAGAAAAATATTTAAAGGATCCAGTTCCATATCCACAGAGCTTGCAAGAAGGATGATTTTGGAGCTAAATTTTATTGTCATAGTCCAACCCTTGGCTACTGAGCTTCAGTATGTACTCTTCTACATATCTGAACTCCCATACAATAAAAAACAACAGCAGCAGGGGCGCCGGGGTGGCTCAGTCGTTAAGCGTCTGCCTTCGGCTCAGATCATGGTCCCAGGGTCCTGGGATCGAGCCCCACATCGGGTTCCCTGCTCCGCGGGAAGCCTGCTTCTCCCTCTCCCACTCCCCCTGCTTGTGTTCCTGCTCTCGCTGTGTCTCTCACTGTCAAATAAATAAATAAAATCTTAAAAAAAAAAAAACAGCAGCAGAGGTGGCTTTCCCAGCACCAGGCTCCAGCAGCACAGGCAGCTTCAAACATTCATTCTTAACTTACTCCTTTCCTAAGAACCAATCAGAAGAACAATACAGGCTTAACAATAAGGAAATTTCACAACTTATTCATAGTTTACCTAAGTTGAGCTAACGTGAATCCTTCTTATACAAAGATAGTTTTTGTTTGTTTGCTTTTAAAGAACACTAACCACAGCACTAGATGATCTTGGTTAAAATCCCAGGTCTATCTCTTTTAACTGCAGAGCCTTAAACAAGTTACCTAATGTTTCTTTGTCCCTGTAAAATGGGGAGAAATCTTCCTCATAGGGTTGTTATGAAGACTAAATCAACTAAACTGTGTAAAACACTTAGACCCTAACCTTGCATAAGTCAGCAAATGTTAACTGCTGTTATTTTTCTATAGATATGATGGAGTTAGCTTATTTTCTGTCTCCCCACACCAGAAAGAACACTCCATAAAGGCAGGGAGGATTTGTGTGTTTTGTTCCGTGTTTTATCCTCACCACCTACAATTCCTGGCACGAACAGGTGCTCAAAAATATTTAATAAACTGCTGATCACAAGCCCTTCTATATTAAAAGACATGAGTGGTGGGGCGCCTGGGTGGCTCAGTCGGTTAAGCATCTGCCTTCGGCTCGGGTGATCTCAGGGTCCTGGGATGGAGTCCCACAGCTTCTCCCTCTCCCTGTGCCTACTGCTCTGCCTACTTGTGCTCTGTCAAATAAATAAATAAAATCTTTAAAATAAATAAATAAAATAAAAGACACAAGTGGCAACTCTTCAAAGTCCTAACGTAATAAGGACTTACAGTTTAGTAACTGAGAAACCACAGGGGGGGTAAAATCAAAGAAAAAAATTATGTCAATCTCTTCTTTATTTTATGTATTTTTTTTTCAGGGGAGGAGGCAGAGGGAGAGAGACTCTTAGGCAGGCTCCACGTCCAGCACAGAGCTGGCACAGAGCCCTACACCGGGCTTCATCTCACAACCCTGAGATCATGAACTGAGCTGAAATCAAGAATCGGACGCTTAATCAACTGAGCCACCCAGACGGCCCACCAGTCTCTTCTTTAATAAGACCAATATCTGCAACGTATTTCTTCAGTGTTTTAATTTGGCATTTACTAGTCACGTGGCCTAGGAAAATCACTCCACTGGAACCTCATTTTCCTCTTTTGAGAGGGCAAGAATAGCTACTAAGAACTGTTTAAACATTTTTTTTTCTTTAAATAATGTCTACAACAGCATCTACAACAAAGTTTATAATCTACTGAATTCAAGTATCACCTAAAGGCAACCTCTGGTTTTTCAAGTTTGAGCAGTACGCAATTAGCTTGCACTGCACTCGACCAAGCTATGCTTAAACTGAAATTATTCTAAAGGTGTTTCAGAAAAAAGAGATATGGTATGGTTTAAGTTTCATCAGGATAGCCAATTCTGCAATCCCCTAAATTCTTCCTTCGAAGAGTTTATATGAAAAGGACATAGGTTGTGTTATATATCTTCTAAAGGGAAAGTAAAGCATCCAAGATGTATCTGACATATATAAAATATATATTTGTATTTCCAATTTAAAAGAACCAAAAAGACCACCAAGTATCTGACACTAGATTTAATAGTGAATATTTTGAAAAGTGACCCTACTGATGACAACCACATCATCTAGCAAAATAGTTTATTCATATTTTCACAATATTTTGACATCCAAATTTCTAAAACTTAACTCCATTAGTTCCTCTATTAATTTCCCAACACTGAAATAGGTGTCCAGTCAAAAATAACCACAAAATACAGGCAACATGAGCACCCTATTAGCAATTTTTAGTAGTAACAATGCAATAGCACTCTCATTATTTACTACCTGCAAGGAGCTGTTGGCAAAGCTTTAATTCCTTCTTAAGTTACAGACACAAATAATTTTATCATTGACTTGAAACAGAAAGTGGAGATACCTCATTTTTCTTGCAAGACTAGAACTCAATCAACAAGCAATATAAATCTCATAGCAGAGTTGAAATACTAGCTTCGCTAAAAATAATACAAAAATTATGGAGCTTAAAACTAGAATAGATCCTATCTACTACTAACACCACCAATTTTACAGCAATGTAAGTTTTCATTCTTGAGACCTAGAGATTACCTTTTCAAGATTTGTAGGCTCCACAGTCACTTAGTTAAGGTATCTGGTGTTCTACATTGAGAACATCTAGACCCATATAAATGACTGAGTCTCACTTCTCCTCTTCCAACAGAAAAGCTCGCCAGAGACAGTGCAGTCTAGAACTGGTTTTCCGCACTTTATGAAAAATCCCCGTTATCAGAAAAATCATTTGAAATACTACTCTTCCACAGAGCATCATGTGATCTACACTACCATCTTTTTTTTTTTTTCTTTTCTTTTTAGATACACAAGCCATCACAAGTTTAGTTCTGCTCCCTTCCCATCACCTTACAGGAGCAGCTGGGTCATAAGGACGAAGTGGGGATACGCTGTACATAATAGATGCCACCACTCGTTTAAGTCTTTATTGGAAAACTTTGGAATGTGACACCACCACCAGCTTACCCAAGAGAGAACAGTAAACCAAGTTACTGACAGCAAAAAATGATAAATCACCCGACTTAAAAAAGAAACAAATGAACACCACTAACTATATTGTATCTCAATGACTATGGAGACTTTCTGTTAAATTTGTAACAAATTTTAATAAACCTGATATGCATTTCCAGGCAGTGTTTGAATTCAGATGAACTTAAGCATCCCTATAAATGTTTCATATGGCAAGTTTTCAAATGCTTTCAGTAAAACACATTTTTAATCCAGCCCCCCCAAAACACCTTCTAATCAACACAAATATGATCTTAAGCTTAACCTTACACACAAATATAAATATGGGAAAAGGAGAGCGGTCTATCACCAATCAGGATGCATTAATCTCCCCAAAGTGGGGGATGGAGGTGCAGGGAGGGCTCATAAACCTGAGGTGTATTCAACAAGAGCGATTCCTCATGTTTTCCGCATTCTGCAACCCTCCGTCGCTCAGTGTTGCGGCTCGGGTCATAACCTATAACCTTCACCCGAGAGCCAGCATTTCTCCGTGGTGTCCAAACCCAGTTGCTGGAGGAAAAAGGGCTACAGGATAGGCCAGGCCGTGCCACTCAGGGACGTCCGATGTGGGGCAAGAAACCTTTTCGACTCCATATAGAAATCCGAGCAATGGGTGCATTTGCAGAATGGATTTTTCAAGAAGGTCCCTTAAGACAAAAAAACCATTCCCGAACTCGGGAGTGGGAACTGAACGGACCCCGGGCCCGCAACTACGCAGCCCCGACCCAGCGCGGAGACGCCGCGCGACCGTACCGCCCACAATCCGGAAGTATTCGGAGACCACCCCCCCCACCCCCCCACCCCCCAACACACCCAGCCAGCCAGGGCTGACCCTCTCCCCGACCCCTACGCCCTCGGCCCACGCCCCTCACCCTGGTGATTGAATAGTCTCCATATCCTGGTGAAGAGAATTCCCATTCTTGGGCAGCGGACCCCCCTCCAGCCACCCGGGCCGCCTGGCCTCCCCCGGCTCAGGCTGAAGGGGAGGCGAGAGACGCGCCGGAGCCTCCGCCTCTGCTGCTGCTGCTCCCGCGCTGGCCGCCAGTTCGCTTCCTGGGAACCGGAGGGAGGCCGAAGGCCAGGGCGCCCTGCCGCGTGCGAGGCCCCGCCGCTGCCGCCGCGGCACTCGCCTGGCTCGTGGACATCGCCGCCGCGTTGTCTGCGACGAGCCTCGCGGGCCACCGTCCTCCCCCAGCTCCTCTCGGGCGGCTGCGGTGGTGGCGACCACGCGGGCGGGGGAGGAGAGAGGCGAGACCGATGGTACGCGAGGGCGCAGGCGCGCGGACAGAGGGGCGGAGCCTGGGGAAGGGCGACCGCTTGGCTCTCTCGTTTGTGTAAACTGGCGACCTGCAGGCTGTGGGACTGAGCCCGGGGCCCGAGGTAGTACGGGCTGCGATTGTGACAGATCGCTCTCGCCTGCTTGCTTTAACGTCCTCGCCAGTTTTCTGTTTTTCCCTGCATTTCCTCGACAGAGCCATAATGTAAATATGTTAAATGAGTGCCTAGTGCCCATCCCCCATCTTTCATACTCACTACACGGAAAGTTACATGTCTTGCCCCGCAAAGACCTGGGGTTCTATGAGGGAAGCTTTACGTCTCTCTCAAACCGCTTGCCCCTGAAATCCAGCTGAAGCCAGTGGCATTATCTACACAATCACTTAATAGCAGTCGCCTTATGAAGTCTTTGTACCTCAGGGCTCTTCCCTCTCCAATCTCCCTCCACTTTCAAGTCAATCTTGCCCCAAGCAAAGCTTTTGATCAAGTTCCTTCTATATTAAAAAATCTGTGGTGGCCAATAAAACTGAGGAAAGTCCAAATACCTTAGATACTCCTTTTTCTCCAGAATATGGCTCCAACTAGCCTTTCCAGCTGCAATTTCCATTATTCCAAACTGGTTAAACAGCTGGTCAAATATTTTCTCTGCCCTTCCAGTCTTCTTGCCTGTACACCTAGAATAGCTATGTCCCATGCTATGCAAGTGTCACAGTGTATTTAATCAACCCTCTGCTATGGGATATCTAGCTGAAAACTAGAAGTGAATCATTAGGTCAGGTGATATCAGACAGTTCTACTTCCATGTGTTATTTTTTGGCTAGGCTTCTATTTTCACATATGGAAAAGCAGTGGGTTTGTCTTTAAGGTCTTTCCTTGATTCATCAGATAATCTGATAATTAGTCTCTAGTCTTGTTAAAGGCAAGAACTGGGTAAAAAGAAACTTAAGGTTACTTCTCTTTCACAAAGAAATCAATCAGAAACAGCTCCATCGCCTTCTGTTCTCCTGAACCTTGGTAAAAAAGGAAGAGAAAGAAAGAAGTGGGGAAGCTATAAAAGGCATTTTGGACTCTTCTGACACTCCATCCTCAAAAGCTGAATGGAATTAAACGAAATCAACAATAAACTACATATTTTCACCCTACATCTACTAGCCATAAAATATCTTCTCTTGATGTATAGAAAAATACAAGTAAGACCCTGAGAATCTACAATTCTTCTTAACTGAGCTAGAAAATTTGTACCTGTAAAGCAGAGGGCAATTTTGAAGACTAAAACCTGTCTCTTTCTGAACAATTGTGCAAGAAAAAAGTCCTTTGATTTTTTTCAGGGCTTATGGCTGAAAAGCCAAAATTAGAGGAGACATATGAAGGGAAAGAAAATTACTATATTAATCCATTTTATGTTATGTTTATATTTACATAATAAAGTACCCTCTAGGCTGTTTAGCAAAACAACAGTATTGTTTGCATAACTAATTTACATCAACTCTTTAATATTTCCATTCTTGCACCCTGCAGGTGGTGCTTTTAGCAGCTCTAAGACATTTTGCAAACTCCCCACATATCTCTGTCCACTTCTTAAATGGTTGTCGTATCCATATTAACTTGTGAAGTTAGGGCTTGGTCTCCCAAATTATTTTCTAAGTGTCATAAAAGGGGAATTTGCCTAATGCAATATTGTCCAAGTATAGGATCTAGGGATGGAATACAAATTTGGAACTACTATAGAAGTAATTGGAAATGTTTGTTGAGTGGTATGAAGCTATTTGTGAAAACAGACTCCTTATAAAATTTTTTAAAGACTAATTTATCCATGATTATAGTGGTGTGCAAAATGTCGTTAACGAGACTTCTACCTCCAGGTATGAGAGAGTAGATGGTCTAGACTTACCCTCCTATCATTAACAAATAGGAAACTGGACAAAATATAAAAAACAACTGTTTTCAGATGTTGGACAACACACAGCACAGGATTGTGATCCCTGATAAGAGACACAAGTGAGATGAATCTAACCATTACCTGGATTTTCTGCCTGGAGGCAATTCTTAGCCAGTGACAGGGGCTGAGAACTCAAATTGAGTCTAGTATAGCAGCCTCCTTGAGTTGAAGATGTAGATCAGTGTTCGAAGAGATCAAGGTAACTAGAATTTGTGAAGCAGAGCAGCTGAAAGGAGGGAGCTATATGGAGAAAAACTCCAGAAACCCACTTAGGTTGAGCCATTGAGTCTTTGACTGCATATCAACCTGTACCTGTAGAGAAACCCCACTGGGCTGGCCAATAACAATTTCTAAGAAAAAGACAAATACCAGAGAGCTGTGAAACATCATAATTCCTAGAGCTCACTAAGGACCAGGAATCATCTGGAGATCCCTTCAGTCAGAGTGAAGAGTACTCACTACATATATGGGACATTCAGTAGATACCCCAGATACCTTAGAAGAGGAGCTATATTAGCCTAAGAAAAAAGTCCTACTCTAGACCAGTCCTAAAAGAGCTTCAAAAAAGTCTTGACAGCTCAAACTCATCTACGACTGCCTGTCAAAACCAGTCCAGCATTCTTTAGAGGAATACAAGATCAAGTCATCCACAATGGAAAGTTTACAATATCTCGAATCCAATAACAAAATTACTGGACATGCAAAGAAGAGAGATCACAAGAGAATGTGACCTGTAACCACAAGGAAAATTGCTCTACAAAAACAGATTGAATTACAGGCAAGTTAAGTGATTGCTCCAAACTCATAGCTGGTTACTGCTGGCTCTAGGCTTTGAAGACAGGCAAGAGTTAATAGCCTACAGTCTAACCACTATACTAATCTGCATGTTGTATGACAGGACAACAGGATGTTTCTCCACAACCCATCCTAGTAGAAGAGATGTGTTGATGACCAGAGAGGTAGCTTCAGGCATACGGCCAGGGTGATGGAGTCATTGCATTGAGCTGCAATTCTTCTATTTGGGAGTTTCAGATTATTCGCTGAAATGCCTTAAAAGATAGGACAGCCCTATATAATATTTTTCCAATAACTGAAGTATCATACATTCAGTCAGCATTTACTGTATTCCTGGCATTGTTTTGTATGCCAGCTTAAAAGCATTTGATACATGTATTTTTAGATAAAAGTACTTTGCAGAGAAAAGTTACAATGATCTTTGGTTTCCTCATTTGTAGTTGGGTCTAATAATCTATGCCTTGTCTATGTTCCAGGATGGTCAAATGGATTAAATGAGATAATGTTTGTGAAATAACTTGGCTGCAGTAAATCACTGTGTAATGTTAATGCAATGATAATAATCAACATAGTACACATTTCTTTTGAACTTCTTGTGCACTGCAATGAGAGAAAAGTCAAATGCCAATCAAGTCATAGCATGGTCACCTGACCCTGAGCACATGAAATATCAAGTCATAAGTTATATGCCTCCATGGAATGCTTATGGGTACAGGACACCTTTGGAAACTTCTGATAATTCCTACATTAATCATTTAGGGATTTCTAGTTTATCTAGGTTCTTTTTCTATATTGTATTTGATCCTATTTGCACATATATTTTAATATATTCTATTTTGGGTGTGTGTATTTAATTTACACACTCTTCCAAATATAATACTCTTTTGTAATAACTCATAGCACCTAGCAGAGTATTCAGGAAATCGTCATTTAATTGAATATGTGTCGTGAAAGTAAATGTTTAGACTTTTTTTCCTGCAAGAGGTATAGGAACATACCTCTAGAATAATATAAAGAGAGGTATAACGCTGGTTTCAGTGTTTTCTCATTTATTATATAAAAGAAAAAATTAATGCAGTTGGTTTGTACACATTTAAATTCCATAAAACAAATCCATAGAAATTAGGATACTCTATGCATGCACTCTGCATTTTCTTTGTTAAATGTTTTTGTTCACAAAAATAACAACACATTTTTTTTCTTTAAAGCCACTAAAGCAGAGGGAGAACAAAACATGCAGCACTGTATACATTTGCATAGTATATTTTACCCAGCATGCCTTGTAGAATGCTACACATTTACCTATATAAGAAAAATAAAAGGGGGTAAATTATTAAAATAAATAACTAAAATTTAAAGAAAGAAAAAAATTATTTGACAAAGTTAATATTTTTTGTCCACTTTGTACCTGGAGATAGAGCAATAGCTTGGGATATCAACAGCCTCAGAATAATTGGTAAAATCTTTTTACATCAACTTGCCTTATTTATTTTTAGTTTTAATAAAATTGTTTTTCCCTCCCACCACCCCTTCAAAAAAACAAAAACAAAACAGCTAATGGCTTTAACTTATGTTTCAAAATAGTATTCAATAAAAAACAAATTAAAGAATCCCTAAATACTTTACTTTTTTGTTGTTGTTGGGACATCTTTATTTATCATTCTGACTGTAGGCTGTGAAAAATATAAAACATTTCAAACATGTCCAAAATTTAGAGGGCCCCTATGAGCTCATTTGCCATTGCTTTTAGTAGCTGTTACTGAAGGAGCAGAAATAAGAACAGTAAATATAGTATGAGTCTTATCACAAAATAACATTTAATAAATTTTATGCAAGGGAATAAAATAAAATAAATTACATCCACAGATTGCAAAGCTATGAAGTAAATTGCTGGAAAAGTATCAAGCAGCAAGTTAAAAAGATGGTAGATGAAATAAATCTGATAAAACTTAGAATTAAATCTATATACTTTTAAAAAATACGACTGCCAAATTTAACAGTGGATTTCGTTATAAGTTTGTGCTATAACAAATGTGCTTCTTTCTCCTCAATCTATTTTCATATTATTGGCAAAATATATATCTTTTATAATTTTGTACTATACAATATATGTTTTGCTACATTATTTATTTTTCTACTGCTAATGCAGATAAGAAGTAAC